TCTTTCAGTGTGAATATTTTGCTGCATGCCTTTGGGCATCTTGCATAAATCGATTCCGTGTGATTTAAATCAGTATGCTCCTTGCCCGTGCCTTACAATCTATAGCCTGCCATCTAGAGTTCCTTTGTTATCCTTAAGGACTGCCTCTGCACTCTCAGCGTTTCCATTTGGTCGCGTTTTCAAAACGCCAGCAAATCGCATTCGCCTGCTCATTTCCCTGTTTTTCAGTCGCTTAGTGCTGGGGTATAATTAGCCGAAAGTGCTACAAGTGCATCGGGAAGTGCTCGAGGAGGAGGAGAAGGTTGTCCAGACAACCATGACAAACTGCGGCCAGAAATGGAGCGATCTGGGTCCGGTAAATCGGCTCCTTCCTCTTGATTTCCTCGGCTTTCTCCTGTTGGTGTGTGTGCGTGTTTGACAATGTCCCCAGTGCGTTGTTAAGCTAATTTGCTTCATTTGTCTAGAAAACTGACACAGACCAACGGGAGAAAGCAGGTTGGGGGGCGGAAGGGGAGCAGACCAGACATAGGCGGCAAAGTGTTGACATGAGGCCATGTTCTCGGCCTAAACCACCAAGCTCCCAGCCTGCCTTCCTGCTGGCCATGGCCAATATTATCGTGCCCGGTCAGTGCAGCACGAAAGCCAAGTCAAGCGGCTGAAGGGCCAAGAATGCTGCCCCCTCGTCCCGACTCCTGAGTCCTTCCGCCTTCGTCCTTCGTCCTTCCACATTCCACCTCCATCAACATGCCCCGGCCAAACCAATAAGCCCACTGTTACCTCTGCTAGGAAAAATATTTGTGCACAGTGGGTGATTTCGAATGGTAAGGTTGACTATATAAATCGACTATGTTAAATATCAAGAATCTAATATCAAGAATAAAATTATTAAAAATATAAAAGCCTTTTGTAAACTTAAAGATCAATTTCTTTTATTTTGAAATAACTTATCTATGGATTTAATCCCTGAATTTTATAAATATATATATATTCTTTTGATATTTATATTTAGTCATAAATTCAATACTTGTAATATTGGAAAAATGTAAACCCTGTTATCTGCATTTATTACAAATCACAGAAATCTTATAGGTTAAGAACAAGTCACAAATTACTAGCACCTTATCTTTGCACTGAGAATGAGCCATGAAAATGGTTATCTGCATTGATTACAGAATAATTTTATGGGTTTATTGCCTTGATAATTGATTTTGTAGAGTTTTTGTAGCTATAGTTAAAAATAGCGTAAAGCCATGGAAAATACAGGGTTAGTAAACTAGATAAGGCAAAATTTCAGAAGACTTTTATTGAAGAAAATGTTATTTACTTATTTATTGGACTTATACAGAAAAATATGATTTATGAGGCTTATATATTACTAATGTTAATGTTAAATGGTTTTTACGTATTTACTGGTTTCTATATTCGTGTATAAGTTTTATTGATTAACAAATTAATATAAGGTATTTTTATTATTTGCTTCTTCATTTTTTATTTCTCTATAGTTCTTTTATAATTTATTATTTTTTACCCTTCGTTTCTTTGAATTACCCCACTGTTAGGGCCTGCTTATTGACTGTATGGTGGGGTCTATGAGGCAGAAGGACCCACTGTCCCGACCAGGCAAAGTTTCACCAGCTGGCGTCGCGTTGGTCGCTTTGACTCCTGCTCCTGCTATGGGGTTAAACCAGGGGGAACCCCCGTCCAAGGACTACGGACTGGAGTACGGACTACACAGGACTACAGACTAGGCCTGAGTCTGGGGCTCTGGGCTCTCCGGTCTGTGGAATCCATGCAGTGAAAACATGTGTAATTGATCTGATTAAGTTGCCTTTGCTCTGCGTGTGTCTATCTGTGTGTTTTGGGCCAGCCTTTCCTCTTTGGCTGTATGTGTTTATGTTTGTCTGTGTTGGCCAAGAAATATGCCAGAGGAGCTTGCTTTGTTCAAACAAACACTAGAGGGAATCGGAAAGGGAATGGGTAAGGAAGGGGAAAGGAAGGTATATGGAAGGGGAATGGAAGGTATATGGAAGCGGTAAGGAAGGGGATCCCCTAACACCGCTTAGGCTTTTGGCTCTTTGCGTTTTGGCCGGCTTGTTGTCCGGCTATTTGCTGGTACTTACACTATTTGCCCTTGTTGTTGCTCTTGTTTTTATTGTTGTTGCTGCTGTCTTTATCCCTCTATCGTTGTTGTTGCCTCGCAGACACACTGCCTTGTATTTATTTGCTTTGCCACAGGCTTTGGCTGTTTAATGAAACGGAAATATAACATTTTAGTTTGCGGTCAAATATTGTATAATTTTCCTCCCCCACAGCTCCAATCCATTGTTGTTGCTGCCACTAGGCACACGAAAAGAAAAGAGGGGGTAGTTCATTGCCTTTATGATTCAATTTCATAGATATTAGGCCCAAGGTGTGAAGGCATACGAAATTGAGCAGGCTGAGAGTGGTTTATGTATTGCGAAATTCAATTTATAGGTTGCTTTTGGAAGGGAGGAGTTTAATTTGATTTAGGGACCATTGGACCAAAAGTAATGGGTTTTAATTCGATAGCATTAAATCTGTCTATTTGCGGGTTAAAGTTTACTTGATTGCTAGACTAGGGGTTTTTTGAAGAGGTCTCTAAGTATGCAACTAAATATACTACTTTTACACATTTTAATATTGTTTTTTGCCAAAAATGCATTGTTTAATACTTGCTTGTTCAAAGGTGGTTCAAACTACATCGTCCACTCCAACTTTCATAGTTTCGTAACTAGTTTTTTCTTCTAAATTTTTAATTACCAACAAAAAGTGCACCATCTGTTGTTCAAGTGGCAAAGCTGCTTGGTTGTTTAGTTGTTCGGTTTTCTCATGCAGTTAACACCCAGAATCTGCTCCTATTTTTGGGTGTCTGAGCAGGAAGCTATTTTGTTTGAAGCTCGGTCCGTGGCCGGTTCTTCAGTAGGAAACTGAAGGGTGCCATAAGGTCCTTCCCATCTTCAGTGTGCCATGGTCTCGTCAAAATTTCATTTGCATCAGCATTCCCAAATATACTTAAGTATATGTACATATATGCAGGGACAGTGCGTTTCGCAATCGACGATTATTTTGTGAAATAATCCATTTCAAAAAGCGATATACAAAGTAAATTGAAACGCAAAGGTCAGTAAATCAGATCTACGCTTCTTGATTACTTATTGAAACCCAGTTAAATGTGGTGTATGCTTAAATGTTTGTAGTTTAAGACTATATTATTCTCAAATCACGTATGTATATTGAATTTAAAATATTTTCTTGCATACTTTTAGACACCTTTAAAAGTGATTTGAAAACCTCAAAGACTTAATTTCTTATTTTGGAAGCTGCAGTTACTTGCGAAATGCACTGTACCCACCGAGCTCTTCATTTTTGATAGAAACTTCTGTTCTATTTGCATTAGTTGCCATTTTTGCCACCCCGTTTTCCGCTGCTCCGGCAATTGCAACTTCACCAAACACTCGGGGAAAAGGAACTTTTGGGGAAATTTTAATTTAATTTAATTTTTATTTGCCTTGCTGGGCACACATTAAAATTGCAGCATGTAGTTTTTTAATATTTAAATGCACGCCTCGCCGCCTTCCGCCCTTCATTTCCTCGCCTTCCTTGCTCTTTTCAGCCATTCTCCTTTCGGTATGTGCAATTCCCAGGGAAAAAGAAGAGTTAAAAGTCGGAACAGGACATGTGGCAGGGTCCTTTGGGTGGGAAAAAGTGGGTAAAGGGGTTTCAGGGCTACTACTATTAACTGCCCAGCGCCTACGGCCATGCCCACTGGCCATCAGTATGTGCTCTCTGCTATTATTATTATTATTTTCACTATTGTCTGCAGCATTTCCTTCCGCTCGGTGCGTCTGGTCTGGTCAACCAGCGAATGCACTCACACCTACGCTCCTCACACACACATGTAGATACTCACACAAACACACTCATGGGTCGAGAAACAAACATATCCCACACCCAAATCCCCCGAAAATCCATATACACATGTTACACAAGCTCACAGGGGATGCTTGAAAGGTAACTCAAAGGAATATTTGGCTCCAAAGGCTGCAGGAGATTTGCTAATACGTTTTAACACACAATGAGTATAATCCAAACCCAATCCATTGTAATCCAAACAAAGAAATAGTTATGGGATTTTAAAGATAAATTCATTTTTACATAAAAATCACATGAACGTCTTAAAATTCCTATAGAATATATTGGTGACCACATTAATACTAACTGCATTTCTGAAATGACCTTACGAAGGAATAATATAATATAACGATCTTATCAAAAATCGACGACTATTTGTAAAGCTTTCTCGATAACCGATAAGTCTTTTGTGCAACCCTCGCTTTAAGCATTTGCCTTGGTATTCATTTTGTGGTGCCGACTCTCGTCTTTCCCCTTTCTACTACTTTCTCCCCTCCAATCTCCTTTCTCCCCTTTCTCTTGGCTCTTCCTCATCTATAGGCGTTTTGTTGCCAACATGAAACAAAAGTGCAGATGCAGACGTGTCTGTGTGTTTGTGGGTGGATGGGAAGGAAAAATCTTGGCCCTTTTGGTGTCTTGGCTAAAAGCAAAATATTTGCTGATTCTGTTGCTTGATCTTCTATCCAAACTCCAAATGTGTGACTGTGTTTGTGAGTGTGTTTTTGCCCACGTGTTCTAATGTTTGTGTTTGTATTTGTGTGCATTTTGTTGATAGTTGGGATTATTTTGGGGCAATTTATGCGAAACAAGGCGAAAGCTTTCGTTGACCCCAGCCACGCCCCCTTGTTGTGTTGGTTGTCACCGCCTCTGTATGCATTTGGGCTTAAATTGAGCAACAATAAAGTTTTGGCCACAGCACACAAGAAATAAAGAATGGAGGCAGGCCAGACAGGCAAAAAGAAAAAAAGGGAAGAACTCACTAGACCCCAACCATATATCTCACTCTGCCTCTCTCTCCATATATATTTCTCCTACTGACTCTTCATTTCCCCTCTGTTTTTCCCCAGATACAAATATTCGGCTACAATTCCCAGCTGTATGCAAATTTCTCAGATGCCCTCAATCGCGCCCAGGGCATCGTGGGCGTCTCCATTCTGCTGCAGGTAAGTAATCCTCCAAGGGGCTAAAAATTATGAGCGATAAATAAACAATGTCTACGATAAGAGCTATATTTAAGGCGATTTTTATCGAGAACTTGTAAATACACTTGGGGTTTGAGATCACTTTAAAAGGTGCCTTAAAGTATGCTGCGAAAAATATAGGCAGAATAATTGCACTTTAGAAAATTTGTGAAAATTGGTCAATTAGGTGTGAGTTTGTTGGACATTTTATTACGAGCTTAACAAGGTATGACATTCGATATTTGGGCCATTCTTTTATTGTTTCGGCCAAAGTAGTGATTTTTTTTGGGTGGAAAAAAATGATCTTAGTTTTTTTTGCGAAAAATCGATTTTTTTCTTTGACCATTTTTACTGTAGCTTGGCCAAAAATGATCCAAAATCTAAAAGGCGCACTGTTTTGGACAGCTAACAAGCTCGATACTTAAATGCAGTTATTTCCCGGCTGATTCTATAAACTAAAAAAATGTTCAAATTTTCACTTTTTTTACAAGGGGTAGTATCATCTATTTTTGTGAAAATGGGTCCAAAAAAATTTTTTTTAGGTGTGAATGCGAATTTATTGGAAATTTTGTTACGAGTTCAACAAGGTATGACATTCCATTTTTGGGCCATTACTTTTCTTGTTTCGGCCAAAATACTGATTTTTTTTGGGTGGAAAAAAAGGATCTTCGTTTTTTAGCGAAAAACCGATTTTTTCCTTTTACCATTTTTGCTGTAACCTGTTCAAAAATGATCCAAAATCTAAAAGGCGCACTGTTTTGGACAGCTAACAAGCTCGATAATTAATTGCAGTTATTTCCCGGCTGATTCTATGAACTTTAAAAATGTTCAAATTTTCACTTTTTTTACAAGGGGTAGTATCATCTATTTTTGTGAAAATGGGTCCAAAAAAATTTTTTTTAGGTGTGAATGCGAATTTATTGGAAATTTTGTTACGAGTTCAACAAGGTATGACATTCCATTTTTGGGCCTTTACTTTTCTTGTTTCGGCCAAAATACTGATTTTTTTTGGGTGGAAAAAAAGGATCTTCGTTTTTTTGCGAAAAACCGATTTCTTCCTTTTACCATTTTTGCTGTAACCTGTTCAAAAATGGTCCAAAATCTAAAAGGCGCACTGTTTTGGACAGCTAACAAGCCCGATAATTAATTTCAGTTATTTCCCGGCCGATTCTATAAACTAAAAAAATTTTCAAATTTTCACTTTTTTTATTTTTTTGAAAATGGGTCAAATATAAAATTTTTTAAATGTGAATGCGAATTTATTGGAAATTTTGTAACGAGTTCAACAAGGTATGACATTCCATTTTTGGGACATTACTTTTCTTGTTTCGCCCAAAACACTGATTATTTTTCAGTGGAAAAAAAGGATCTTCGTTTTTTTGCAAAAAACCGATTTTTTTCTTAGACCATTATTGCTGTAACTTGTTCAAAAATGGTCCAAATTCTATAAGGTTCACTGTTATGGACAGCTAACAAGCTATATAATTACTCGCAGTTATTTACTGAAAGATTCTACGAAAACCAATTTCTTCCCAATTTTCACGATTTTTAAACCCATGTGTTTTGTTTGGTGTATTAAGCGGATACTTATCCTTATTTACTTTCTGTATATCTGAAGTTCGCATTTTAAATTTTTCCCCTTTATAGCTTGGAGACCTCTCGAATCCGGAGCTGCGCATGCTCACCGATCAGCTGGAGCGCATTCGCTACGGTGGGGATGAGGCGTTTGTCAAACGACTCTCTATTCGGGGACTGCTTCCCGATACGGATCACTACATGACCTACGATGGATCAACAACGGCACCAGCCTGCCACGAAACAGTCACTTGGGTGGTGCTCAACAAGCCCATCTACATCACAAAGCAACAGGTATTTAAGAATATACTTAGAAGTAGAATTATATTCGTGTAAGCCTCACCATGAGTACTTCATATGATGTATTCACTTATTGTATTGTTTATATCAACAGTAAATATTTTATTTATAACTTCATAGATTGGTTCTTAATTCGGGGACTTATTTTTCTTAATAATTTTGTAATATTGATACTCGTAGGTGCAAAAGTATAATAATAAATACTTTCATCTTATAAATATCGCATTTGCGGTTGACTATGCCCAGCAACAAATTAAAAAGTCATCGAAATAATTTTTTCCAAGCGAATTCATCAAGTTGCCCTTCACCCCACTCCAACCACCAAACTCCGAAAAACAAAAGCAAAAAACAAACATTTTGAGTGATGAGCACCTTAATGTTTGTTAATTAGTATACAGTGCTCCGATGTCCGTTGCTCCCCGGCTTCTTCTGTTTTATTAGCTAATTTCATTTAAGTTTTAAATTGAGTTGCTGCTGGAGGAGCAACAAAGTGGATAGTGTCCATAACTCAAAGGAATGGCGAGCAGCGCGAGGAGCACACACATTCAGCTGAAAAAAGGCAGGGGAGAAAAAATTTAACACAAATGTTTATTAAGTGCAGCGCTGTAATAAAGACGCCAGCGGTGGTCTGTGGGTGGGGCCTGAGTTCCTGAGTTCCTGAGAGTTTCTGGGTGGTTTCAATGGGTTTCTGGAGCGGTTGAATGGTGGCCAGCGGCATACGTGTAAACAATGTAAACAGGGCGGGAAAGGCGGAGAAAGCGGAGAAAGGCGGGAAGTGCAGGGAAAAGCGGAAGAGGGACACCAACACACACGCGACTGCAGCAGGCAGACTCATAAAAACTTCAACAAGCTCAATGGCACCCATGGGCACATGATTACAACTTGTGGCAGCCATGGAGCTGGAGCTCGAGGACGAGGACTCCGGTCCAGGATTCTCCGGCAACGTAATTTACTGGCTGCACCGCACACACACGGAGAAAGAGACGGCAGGAGAGCGGCAGAAAGAGACAGCACCTTGCTGGCAAAACATAATTTACCAAATTAAAGTAACACCAGTGGGCCAAGGGGGACGAAATCGGGACAGAGAGCACAGGAAGCTGCGCGACATGAGCTGAAATTGCAATTAACCCATTAACTCGCGCTCTGTCGCAGACGGAAAGCCGGAAGATGATGGCATCCACAGTGTGAAAGGTTTTAACACCTGTTCTTAAACTGACTTTGATGGCAACACTCATTTTTTTTCAAAAAAGCTATCTTTCATTTCTAGAGGCTTAAAATAGTTGATGAAATTGCCTTAAAGTATGCTACGAAAATGTGTAAAACGAAAGTTAAATGAATAAATTGCAAGACCACTTTTAAATCAACATCTAGAGATCTAAAATAGTTACTTAAGCTGTCTAAAAAGATCCTATTTTATATTTAATAAACAAATGCGCAAATAAGAAATTTAAAGTCTACTTTTAGGCGCCTTTAAAATTATTTTAAACCTTTAGAGATATTATTAACAAGGGATATAATACCCTTTTTAAATTCAGACTTCGACAATCTTATGTTTTGAGCCTAAGCTCCATGTTTGTAACAAAACCTCTTCATTTTAAAACCACAATTCAGCCAGAAACGGGCTTTATTCCTTGAGTGCCATTTAGTGTTGCATACTTTCGGGACATCCACACACACACACACGTGTACCCAACTTAATTCACACTTGAACGGGCAATCCGGGGAGGACCCCCCTCCACCCCCTGCCATGCCGAACCGAGCCCTTAACCCACTGAAGCCCCCGCCCTCCTCAATCACCATCAACCCGGCCACGTTGTCGTGAAAAGCGATTTTGACGGAAGTCAATTGATAAACAGATTGAGTAGATTAAGTGTTATTGACTCGTTGTTGTTGCTGTTGCTGCTGTCGTCTCATCGATGCTTTTCTCTCTGTGTGAGTGTGTTTGGAATATGTATCCTTAGGGTTTTTCATTTTTTTTTTTTGAGTTTTTTGTTCAGCGAGCGCTTATTTTTAGGATTAGCAATTTGTGTCAAGCTTGATTTTTTGCCAAGTGCGGATCGATGATGTTGTGTGTTTGCGCAAAAGTTTATAATTATGCACGTTAAAACGGATGGATGGGCTCTACGGCTTATCTTCATCGGCGGATTGGCTTATTGTCGAGCCATTGTTGATCTACTTCCGTGTCTCGATGAGGCTGGTCGAGTTGTGGGTGAAGGCACTACAGAAATTGTGATTGCCATAAGGGGAATGGATTAAAAAAACTTAGGAAGCATAATTTAATCCTGGTAATTTACCAAGACTTAAATGTTACTCTTGTAGGTTGCTCTTTGGCGTCAAGAAAAACAAATGTTAATTAGTTGCAAGATTATTATTCATACGCCCTGTAGGCTACATACTTTTTATGCGTATCGTATATGTAAGTAATAATCATAATTTAATCATGGCAGTTTATTACGTTTAGTATTACTTTTATATGTTGCCTTTAGGCTTAACGAAAAAAGTTTTCATAAGTAGCCAGCCAGAACTCTTCGTATTACTCATACGCACGATTGCCAACATACGTATCACACGTGTCGTATGAGTAATAGTTCAAATCTTATTGCTCATACGCACTGTAGCACTGTAGTAATAATTATTTTTGAGGAAACCTTAACAGGTCTTAACATATTAAATTCACTTGGTTATACCTTGTTTTTACTTACTTGGAAGTCATTTTGTATAATTTAAATTATATTATAAATAATTTAGCATCATATTCCTAAGTAAAGGCAATGATTTTTAATGTGAATATTTTGTTTATAATATTTTAGTTACACGCCCTGCGCCGCCTGATGCAGGGCAGCCCCGACCACCCGAAGGCGCCCCTGGGCAACAATTACAGGCCGCCCCAGCCGCTCCTGCACCGGCCCATCCGCACCAACATTGATTTCAAGACGACGAAGACGAACGGCAAGGCCGCCTGCCCCACCATGTACCGCGAGGTCTACTACAAAGGTAAAGTAATAGTAATAATAGTAATAGTAATAGTAATGAAGAGTAATCCCAGAGAAAAATAGTTTCGTAGAATTCCATGGTTTACATTTCAAATTCAAATTCAAATAGGCATTACAAAAGTTAACTTTATTGTAATCATATAATCATTTACTTTTTCTGTATTTCTAAACATGTTTAGTTAATAAGCCCTTAAAATTTCACCTTATCAGCGGTTCCAATTAGTATTTAGTCTGGCTAACCGGCTATGTATGAGAACAAAGAGAATATTTTAAAATTGATTTCCTAAAAGTAGGCAACAATATATTTGAAGCGCAGTATTTCAATGAATTAGTTCAGAAAGGCTACCATTCTATATTTTACTGCATACTTTTGGGAACCTCAAATAACATTTCAAAGTGATTTCAATCCCATTGTCTTAGTTTTTTTTTACTTTTTCAAAATTGGTTAAACAACAAGGTCTCTTTCCCTTTTCAGCGACCAGTTGGAAACAGAACTAGAAGTCAGTGACGTGATGGCGTAACGTAACGTATCGTAAGCGTATGACGTAAGTAGCGAGCGGCGTGCAACAGGAGCTTCCACTAAACATACATATAGACAAGGCGATGCCGAGGGAAAGGACTCGAAAGGGAAGGACTACGATGGAGGGGAAGGACGAGGCTCAAGATGAGCTGGGGAAGGAATCACAAAGGAATCAGTGCAGCAAATTGGCGATTGGAAATACACACACATATATATAAATAGGCAGAGAATAAACAAAGGAATAATATGGATAGCGATTACGATTACGACAATTAGCATTAAATGTGCATTTTTTTGTCTCCCCCGGAAAATCAATCAGACCCTGATTGCAGTCTGAGGTTGAATATTTTTTTTTGTGTGTGCGTAGCGTAAGTACAATAACAATAAAGAAAAAAAAAACAAAACAAAAATAGCGATGACTAGTAATCATAATTACCGACATAACCACTAACGTAATCCACAAAACCAAATACTATTGTATATTTTAAGTTAGGCCCGGCAACGTGAGAAGATCAAAATAATATACAGAATACACAGAACACATAATACGAGTATCGATAGCCGTTATCCAACACTGTCATAAGTGTTATGGCAGGCATTATGCAAAACCCACCCAAAGAACAGACTTTAAATCCACACCCACATCGGTGGGTACATAAAACCAGTTTGTTTATGCCCCCTAAATGTGTATAGAGCGGCCTCTGTTTGTGTGTGTTCCAAAGTGTGCGTGTGTGTGGACATTAGGTAATAACATTAACAATAATAAAGTGTTAATCTCTGAGTACGGGATGGCAAAAAAAAGTTTATAAATTTACGGTTGTTGCAAAAAGTCAGACATACTGGTACATTCTACTGCCTATATTTGCATATCATTCAGTTTAAAAAATGTTACATTTTCTTTAGTCTAAAATGTTTTAAAAAGGCTTTAATTTTAAACTACCCTTAAGCTAATAATTGCAACTTCTAATGGCAAAAATATTTATTTGCCTTGCTATTTGATCAGGCAAAGCGTGACGAACTACCAATTTATTGACCCTTTCATTGGACCAGGGAAAAAAGGTCCCCCAGGGATCGAGGGCTTAAAATACTTGCACACTTAATTGCAATTTTAAAATTATGAATTTGGGCGTTTTTAATACGTAATCCCGATGCGGAGGCCCCGCCAACGTGGCAGTGTCGCCGCAAATGCGTGCATTTTGCATTTTAAATGCACTTGACCGCAGCATCCAGCCAGTTCCCCACCGGTTTGTGTAACCGGGGACCTTATCAAACCAACTCGCCAGGCAGCCAGAAGCCACCCTGCACCACCCTGGGCCACCCTAAACCACCCCTGTACACCCGGGGATGTCGGGCTGTCGCTTATCGAACGGCAAATGCAACATGAAACCACAAAATCTGTTGCGGTTATTTAAAATCACGTTTAAATACGAAAGTGCTGGCTGTCTCTCGCTTCGGTTTGGTTGGGTTTTGCGTTTTTGGCCAGCATAAAAATCAACTTTTTAATGCCCGAAAGGAAAATGATTACGTATCCGCCGCGTGGCCAGGGACATGGCCGAAAACTGGCCAAAGCTGTATAACTTTTTCTCCAACCCCTTCGCCCGAAAAAACCGCCTTCAAACCCCCTGCAAAATCACATAATAATTTGTATAAACATTTGCATTATTTGCACTAGTTGACCTTTTTGCAGTTGTTGTTCTGTGTGCTCCGGCATTCGACTGAAACTTTTCGAGCTCTTTGTTTCATTTAGTTGCTTTTCAGTTTTTGCATTGTTTTTTTTTGCATTTTTTTTGGTTTATTTCGGTTGTGCATCGAGGGATTTGCCAATGGGAAATTATGACTTAAATTAATACATGGCAAGTGTAATTTATTTGAGCGAATCAGGCGGCAGCTGCTGCCGGCAACTGACACCCTGTAACTTTTGGGGTGCCAAAGTTTTTGGGCTACTTATATTTTGTATCTTTTATTTCTGGTCTTCAAGAAATTTCACTTAGTAGGAGTGTTGTTCTATATATATTTTATTATTCAAGTCCATAAAAAATACCCACAAATGTTTATTTAAAAAATACGCTACATGTAACAAGGTTCTTGTAAATGTAGCATACAAAATGCCTGCCGAAAAACCTTATGGTTTTTCTCAAGCTCCCTTAATTACAGGGTATCTGAAGTGGCCATGAGCAAGCCAGACTGGTGACCCAATTAGCCTGGCTAGGGAATAGCCCGGTCCATCAGTTTATTTGCAGCAAACTCAATTCCAACTTTGGCTGACTTTCAATCAATCAAATGGTTTGGGTCAACTGGGCGAGGCGACTCTGGCCAAACTGATTTGCGGTGGCTTCTGCACGAAGTTATGTTGCATGCTGTGCCAGTGGGCGGAGGGGCGGGGGGCGTGGTACGAGGTGGGCGTGGCCGACCACCGGATCTGACCAGACGGGGCTAACCCGACACATATATTGGCAGGCAGGCAGCCAGACTCCAAATGGCTGCAAAGTGCAGGTAGCAGCTTTAAACTAACCCGTTTTCTGGGCTACAAGGGGTTAAGCTTTATTTTCCCGTCTTGAAAATGTTTAATTTTTTGTTTACCACAGGGTAGCCCTCTTTTCGTCCTTTATCATTCAATGGAAACTACCATTTTATCGCCGCTATAAAAATTGCGGCTGGAGGTTTTATATATATAGTGTATGTATTATTTACATCATTTCATTTTCATGCATGTACGATTGCAGTCGGCCATTTCGGCTATTGGCCATTTCAGTTATTATTTTCAATACATTGAAGTTGTGGCTACTGTGTATGTGCCTTTCGGACTCTGATAAAAGACAACATCGATCATGACAGTCGGAGCGAGGGAAAACCCATTCGGAACAGACCTGCAAATATTGCAATTTGACAAAGTGACAAATTCGCAGCCATTCATTTTTCTGTGGGTGCGGGGTTACACCAAATAAAAGTGTCGACGGGGCATTGTCCTGTAAAAAATAAATGGACTATCAATTCACATATTTTTAAAGAATTATTGCTTGTAAAAAAAATATGTTATTAATAACTAGATTTTTTTTTTATTTATTTCATAACAATATTTTCTTATAACTAAACATGCAGTTTTGATGAAATTACATTTTCTCAATTTTCTAATGAGGGTAGAAGTGTATACATAATATTATATATGATATCTTAATTAGTATTTTTTATACATCGACTTCATAACCATATTTTCTTATAACTAAAACGACCAGCAGAAAAAAGGAAACATTTTGATGACTTTGCGTTTTTTGCATTTTCTAATTCGACTTTTTTTATCCGCTTCCCAAATGATGGGCCCAGAAAAATGTGTAAAGTGTTGCAATATTTTTATGAGCAGCTATCAAACCCATTGAAATCGCACTGTCAGCGGAATAGTGAATGAAAGTGATGGAAGTGAGCTTATGATGCAACGAAATTCCAGGGGTATAGTTGGCTGGCAAGTCTCGACTTCCTCGAGGCCCTATTATCATATCTCGTTCTGTTTTCAAAACCCGAATCGAACCGGAACAGCCGGCAGATGAGCAGATGAGCAGGGGCAAACCACTTTGCCGACTGGTTATGCAAATGGCACCCCCAACACGGGGTGGCCGACCCTTAACCCCTTAAATAACACACCCCCATACCCCAAAACAGGCAACCCCCTTTGGGGCTATCGCTGCTGTCCACACAAGACTAATTAAATTATGGAAATTAAATTGAATCGAGCATATTTGTTGTTTGCAGTTCATAAATTGCGCTGCTAAAATGTCCGGAGCAGCTAATGTTTCGCCCCTTCGGCCGTGACGCCATGTAAATCATTTCACAATAAAACGCACGGCACAGCAGCAGCAGCAACTGCACAGCAGCAACATGCACGGCAGCAACACACTTAATTATGACATCATTAATTTTTAATAATGACAATTTTGCGACAATAAATCACTTAACTAACACAAATGCGAGCGACCAGCAGTATGCATGAAATTAGTAAACTTTAAACAATGCCGGCCATGGGGGTGTCAAGGGGGCATCAGTGGGTTAAAGTGGGCTGTGGACTGTGGGCTGGATAAGCAAATAAACAGATTGACTGTCCCCATTGCCTTGTCCTGGCATTGAGTGATGGCAGCCAGCAGGAGGAGGATGTTGCTGCGGGGCAGCTGCAACTGCATCGGCATCGGCAACTGCAACAGCAACTGCAATTGCAATTGCCAACGCGAGTGCCGTACCGTGCATGGGATGAATTTAATTAATCTCGCTACCGTCAGTTGCACACAATTGCAATTAACTTGCAACACTCGCATAATTACAGGCGACCTCATGTTTTGCTACTTATCAGCATCAACATTGACCCAACGACAGCAACATCCAGCGGCAGTCGCTGCGAATTCCTATGGCAGCCATTGATACCCTGCACTCTAAGTTGGGGGAGTTGCAGTCCTTAGGAATGCAGAATTTAATGGGGACTTTATTTCAACACAGTAGTTAAATTTATATTTATATATTTCGCTTTTTATGATGCACTCTAAATATTTTTAATTTGTATCTTTTTTATATTTATTTATCATTATTTTTAAAAAATCCTCAGGATACTCAGAGATATGTTTTGGAATTTAAAAGTTTTTTCTTCCTTTTCCTAGAAGTATGCAATGGTTTCTTAATGGACCCTTAAACTCATTTTTTAAGGTATTTTAAGTATATTAGGAGTTATTTAAAAGTTGTGTATGTAATCAAAATTACCGTAGACTTGTAATTTTTTAAAACTTATTATCATAAATCATAGGAGTTACGAAAAAATAAAATTCGTGTTTTTCTTAAGGTTTCGCTAGAAGAAGCCTTATAACTTTCTTACTTTTGAGTGATTAAGAAGGCAGTTTTTAACATACCAAACAAACCGAATCTCGAATTGTTATAAAGGACTAATTTTAGATTTTTGTTTAGTCATATATACCTTTTTTGGATTTTCAAAGGGTATAACGAGCGACAAGCTTGCCCTGACACATGGTCGCCTCTCTATCTCCCCTCTCTGTCTGCCTGTCTATCTGTCTCTTCATCATGTGTGTAAGTGTGTGTGTGGGTGGCTGACTGTGTGTGTGTGTGTGGGCAGTGGTTGGCTCATTGGTCATTTGGTTGCAGCTCGGTTGGTGTTAGCGGTTGCTCGTCATCGTCATCATCAAGCTGCTGGTTGTTGTTGCTGCCGGCCGGCGACTGATTGCAAATGTTGTTGCAGTTGTTTTTGCTGCTGCTGTTTGTTAATGCCTGTAGAGCACAAAGCTGCTGC